AATAGTAAAACTTTGTTTCTACAAAATAATTGTATTCGTTTAACTCTTTTTTTCTATGATAAAACACCAGATAGTAATAACAACAATTAATTGTTTTTATTATTATTCGTAATATTTCCATGTGATTTACAAACTCCAATACTTTGTTTAAAATAATTTAAAATATTACGTGTACCGTTTACAGCTATTTATAGTTGATTTGGAACCGATCCAATTGAGTGGAAGGTAAACTCCTCGCATCTTGGACCATTTGTACTGTTTTATAAACATCGATTAGTTAATCGACCATAACATTTCAATCATAAATTACAACCATGTGAGTTATGCAGTTGGTGGTTTGGCTGTGATTAGTTAATCAACGAATTATACAATATTTTCATTACACTAGAGTCTCGCTGATTCGGACTAGATGGGACCGGACTCTATCCGGATTAAACGGAATGACTTTTTTTTCAACTTACTAATAAATATTTTTCACCATATGTAATTGAAACGATAAAATCTTAAACAACTATATGCATAGGTACTTGCCGAATAATTTCAATCCCGTAGAGGTACCTACCTAAAACTATGCTATAAATACATATGTACATATATATATATATATATCAATTATGTATTAATAATGTACGTCTTATAGTAAATAACATTTAGACATTGAAATAAATAATTTTTATATAATATTTATGTGTATGTATATATGTTATATATACATAAGTATTAAAGTACGAAGCATAAATTTTCCGTATTATCCGGATGTCTGAACTAGCGATGATCAGATCAACGAGACTATTGTAATTTTGATTACAGATGGTATTTATTTTTGTAATATTCGTATTATCACTAATATTATCAATTATTATTTTAAATTTAAATTTTAACCAATGTTACATCTGATTTTTTGTTACTGTTGATCATCAGGGAGCAATCCCTAAGTTGACGAATCGTGTTTAATGAACACGAATAATAATTATAATAATTATAATAAAATAACGATCAGTTCTGTAATATGTACCTATGTAATATCACTGTAATATGATACATTTAAGCATCAATGCACTAAAATGTATGTACTAAAAACAAAAAAAGCATTCAAAATACGCACAAAAAACATTAAGTAGGCATTTTAGTTATAAAAATTAACCAAAATATGCAGAGCAAAATTTATTTTACCTTAAGTATAAAAAACTAAAAATGTATTTTAAGTATGTAATATAATTTTTATGAGTTTTTATTTTCATATTTTATATTATTTTTAATATTATATACTAATTTACAATATGAGCATTACACTGTGATACAATGGTTTTTTTAATGTGATCAAACACAATTATATGAGATAATCATTTAGCATTTATCTAACCGTTTAAATTATTTAATTTAAATTAATTTTAAAAGAATTCCAAAATATACTAAAATATGCATTTAAAATATAAAACTATACAATATGCAAAATAATGCAAAATAATAATATTTGATTTAGTAGAAAATGAATCAAATTTGTATCCGAGTTCGCATTAAATTGGATCGATAGAAAAAAATATGCAATTTCATAAACATTCAAAGTCAAGTCATTAATCAGTTTATAAACAAATTCATAAGTCGTATAATATTTGAAAAAATACATTGATAACAATGAATTTAATTACTTGAAATAAACAACAAAATTGACTAATCAGTGTTCAACCGACCTCGGATGGTCGATGAACTTAACGGATGTATGATCAATGATTAGAAGATTAACCGACCCTATACAACTATCCAGCGTCATTAATCATAGATTAACTCTTAATCACTGTTTAACCAACTACTGTACAACTAGCCCTTAGTGGTTAATTTTGTTTTTGGGGAACATATAGAAAATATTCAGCCGTTCAACACGTTAATAATTGTTTCAAATTTTCACTTTTAGTAAATCGCACGGAACATCAATGCTTATGGCATCAAGAGTCAGTCTTACAAATTTTTGAACCATGGACTTTCATTAGAAAAGACTTCAAATAAAGTTATTAGTTATTTGAATGTATAAATTGAGTCATAAAATGTTATACTAAATTACACCAATTTTTTTCTAGGGTCTCTCGCAAGCCCATCAGTGATGTTATCATACAATACAATGATTATTTTATTATTTTTTTTCATGTTCAACTGTTAATAATGTTAGATTATCTAGCCTACATTAGGATAAACAACTGATCTCAATTGAGTTATTACTCGTTTTAATGCCGAAGAAAATCGTTCACTTTTAAATGAGGCATGATTAAATAAATTTGTTGCATCGTCACAATGTTGAGAAATGTATGTTTTATGATAATCGATTTTAGATATTTTAGTTGATATTGAGAATCATTCATGGTCTTATAGTTAAACAGTGACGTTTTTAACTATTGGAATTATAGCAATTCGTCAACAAACATTTCTTTATCCAATTCGTTAAGAAAAACATCCAATTAATTTGATGTGCACTTCATAATGTATACATTTATCATGTTGATTTTAAATAAAAAAACTAAACTTTTTTTATATGTCTAAGTAAACGCTATTTATTTATTTTAATTTAAAAATGAATTTATCACATATGATACAATGCAAGGCTTTGCACCCGAATAACTTTTTCGGGTGTTGAATACATTTGGGTGTTCAAACACCGCAATACATAATTTAAACAAACGTTCGGATGTTAATAACCGTTATTATTCGGGTTAATATTGGTTAATACGGATGTTAAGTAGTCAAGGAAAAATATTATTTTTTATTGGTGGAGGGTGGTGGGGAGGCTGAGCCCTCCCTCTACTAATGAAATATTTATATTTTTTGTTATCTACCTATGTAATAAAATAAAAATTTCTTATACAACTGTGCAACAGTTTTTTAGACCAAATTATCATTATGTTAATTTCAAGCAATGGTATAATTACGATTTATTTTCGGGGAAGAGGGGGTTATTTTATGTGTATGAAGCTTATAAATTATAATATCTATTAAAATTAAAAATACTAACACTATGTCCTACTTCTAGTTAGTGCAGGCATATCGCATACGACAAAAAACAAACTATTTTGTATTCTGCGTTTGTGTTTGTGGTATAGGTGGAAATCGGGGGAGGGGGGCTTGAGGGTACTTAGCCCCCCAGAAACATAAAGTACAAGTCTTAGCCCCCCTAGCCCTAAAAAATTGTTAAGTTACTATAAATACAATAATTATTATAACTGTAAAATTCATTTTTAATAACTGAATTTAAAGAAAATATTCTGTGAAAAAAATTAAATCATATTCGTAAGATTTTACAAACTTCTAGTCATGACTTGGAAGATCGCAATTAATGTAATATTATAAGGGTTTTTAGGGGTGTTACGGGTTCGGGTTAATTCGGGTGCAAAGCCCTGATACAATGTGTATTAAAACTAAAATTTATTTTTATTTTGGATGTCAAGTCTACGCCCTGTTTGTATTGTCCAAATGTTAACTTTTAGGTGTTTTCAATTTTCTTTTAAATTAATAATCTAATATAGGAGTAATGGCTAAAGTGGATGTTTCTTCTTCATATATTTCATAATCTTCACGTACACCTTTAATAAAATCGATCAATATATATATATATTAATACATATTAATTAATGAAGTATAAAGAGGGAACCGTACATAGTTGATACATTAATTTTAGGAGATTGATAACGCTGTTAATTTGTTGTAAAATTGAGTTCCATATTACGTTCAAAACACTATTATTAAGATATGATATTGTTTAAAAAATAATTATTCTATGCCTTTCATGAGTAATGGCGAATTTTTAAAAAAAATTTTTTAATTTTATAATTCTATGTAAAAAGATAAACAATATGTTGGTCTTCAAAAAATTACGAACAAAAAACGAGGCCACTCCAAATCGGAGGCCAGATGATTAGACATCAAGGTCCTTGTTTATAACAAACACTGGAATCAATTACATGAGTGTAAAATACTATCATAAACCACCAAATTGAAATTAACCTTAACTAAATAATTATTATCGTATTAAGTCTAGATTAGTTTACGATATGAGGATAATTATTTTTAGTATCTAACCTTTTTCAGTACCACTTTATTACCTTAGACCTTATATAATTGAGTAAAGCCAAATAAAAAATTATTATTATTATTATTATTGCTCGTCACATCGATGTAGGTATTTTATTCAGTTTCCCTGTGCATAATTGTAAAATGTGCCATCAAAAAGATTGATTTTATTTTTTATGCAATTTTATTTAAAAAATAAAACGTGGTCACGAACTATCGTTAGTAATAATTGTTTGGCAAAAACTGGTGATTTAAAATTGTTAACCTTAATCTTTTATGATGTGAAATAATTAATATAAAGATTCATCGATTTCGTCTTTTCCAGGTATTATCCATATCGTGTGTCTAATTGATTACTCTAATTCCAATTTCCTCTTCAACGGTATAGTTTTTGATTATTTTTCATCATACCTAGAATTACATCGCGATTTTAGCACACGTTTTTTTTTTCAATTTAATTTCGATTTTGTACGGGTTATGTCAATGCATATACACATGCTTGAATATATATTTTAATAAATTTCTGTCGATGAACCGCTTAAGCAGAAGTGTATTTCTCTTTTTTTTTTCACATTAATTCTTCTTCACGGAGTACACTTATATACACATATTTAATTTAAATGAGGGCAAAAGTAAACAATAATAATAATAGTTAAACGTTATCCAACCAAGGCGGTTTGATAGGCAATCATTATTACTCTGACGCATACGATCGATTTTTGACGGCGACGGGCCTGAAATTGGTTTTAGCATAACGAAAGGGCATGAAAACTATAAATTATCAAAAATTTGTATTACTTAAAAATAATATAGTCTACATAATCTTAAACTATTGATGATATTATAAACAAATATAAGTTATAAGTATAAAAAAGTAAATATGTATACAAAAAAATAAATATATATGTATATAAAATAAAAAACCGTAAATACATAACGTCCAAATTAATTTTTTTGTTTATAACTGAGAAAATAAATAGTGAGTGAAAAAATAAATAAGTAAATAATAAGTCGTCAGGTTAACCGACGGTCCTCAACGTTTTGTAATATATTAAAACGATACATTTAATATTATACATTACGCGTTATTCAAAACGACCGAATGGATCGAAATAAAACATTGTTTTATTTGCTCCGAACAATTTTATATTCCGTCTTTCTAGAATTTTTTTGTTCTTTTTAAATTGTTTGTGAAAAAATCATACCAATTGATCGGCGCGCAAGGTTCCGATCAACTCGATCGTTTTGAAAACAATGCGTAACCTTTACAAAGTGCAGTGTGCCACACCCGATATGTTGTCCCGACGGACGTTACCGCGATAAACATCGCGCACCATAAGCATTACGGTCACTTTCGATTATCGCACGGCTTCAAAAGCCGTCTACCGACGAACGTGTCCTGCGTACCATGTTCAAAGACGACGCGCGGACAGGAGATCGACCTGGTGTCGACGGAGATCTCGCAACGTTATCGGTAAGATTCGGTTGGTTGTGTACGCGGTAAACAACGTATTTTCAATACGGTTCAGAAGTGGTGTGGACTTGCTCAACCGAAAACAAATTTTTAGAAGTTTATTTATTTGTTTAGTGTTTTTTTTTTTTAATTTTTTTTTTTTAACAATTTGTTTTAATTGCGCAATACCCAATACCGTCAAACGTTCACATCTCCACGAAGAGTTGTCTACGCTCGTTCGGAAGGCGGTAAAACAGTTTTCAATACACGAACTAATAATACGATAACATCACGCGGGTTTCTCCAGTCAAACGAGCGTTGACACGCTTTTACGATCTACCGAAGGCGCACGAATGGCGAAGCCAGGGATGGGGGGAAAAGTCTAAAAGTCCGTCCAAGGTTAGGTCAAGTTACAAGAGAAAAGTCAAAGACTTTGATAGTGACGTGTGCGAGGAGAGACCTATACGATCGGGTGCAGGAGCAGATTCGGTACAATTTTAATGCGCAAACGATTCGATAATATTTTTAAAGACAAAAAGCGTTCCGAGGAGAGCGGTAAGTATAGCGTTACGAACAGTCGTGGTGATGAATGATAAACAGTTCGAGGCCATAAGTGTAGGTAAACCGGTTCGCCGAATACGCTCGTCGCAACGGACGCCCCGATATCCCTGGCGCCGTCGTCGGAGGATGTGTTGCGGGGATGTGGATGACGGTTCGAGGTGATTACGGATGGTGAGGGATGGGTTGTTGAGGGTGGCGGACCGGTGATGTCGGTCAGGCGGCCCCGTGATAACCGTGAGATTCGTACGACGGGTACATCTGTTGCGGCTGCTGCGAGGACGGAGACATGACCGAGCCCGCGGTCGCTGCGGCCGCGGCCGACTGACCCGCGTACGCTAATAGATGCGCGTTCCGATCGTCCTTGTCCGATGACCAATCCGCCTGGACCAAGGAACCACTGCCGCCCCCGCCGCCGCCTTTGAACTTCTTGAGCATCATGAGCTTGGATATGGTGAGCGAGATGACGGCCAGTATCAAGGCCTTGAGCGCTTTGGCTCCGATCATCAACATGGTCAGCGGTCCCATCAACGACAGCTTCGCGCACATAATCACGCCCAGCATAGACATCATTTTTTTCAGATGTTTCAACTTGGATTTCTTGCCCCGGCCTAGACGAAGAAAAGAAAAAAAAAATAACCGTATCGTTAAAAATAGGAAAAGTAATAAAATAGTTAAAAGAGAAAACTAGATGTTGAAGAGCGATCGTTATTTTTACGCGTTCAAAAGCTTATTCAAATACGAAGGAATACTTTTTTTTTTTCATTTATAAATTCAAAAGTATCACTCGAAATAAACCGATTTTCCGTACAGTATGCTATAGTAGTATACATTCCAATGACGAACAATTTTTAAAGTAGTTCACTTCAATTATTAACTTGTAATTTCTGATACTGTCGATTAATATTATTTGAAAATATGTGATTAGTCTGTTTTCGCGAAACGAGGACACTTATTTTGATTGTAAACGTAGAATAGTTCGTCCGGAGCACCGTGCAATACGGTAGTATTGTAGACTTGTACCATCTCCTTACATCTCGTACACCGTTTGTCAGAATTGGAATATTGTTTAGGACCTGACAAGAATGGAGGCACACAAGTCACGTAAGAATCGCTATTGCACAGCCGACAAACAACGAAACAACGAACGCTGAATATTTACGATATAAATTAGAGGCGGTCAAGTAGAAAGTCGACCAACAACTGAAAACGAATGCTTATCCCGGTGACGTTGCAATGAAAAGTGTACAATAGGTATTTGTCGACTTATTGATATTTTTTATCCAATCATGATATCGAAAATACGCATGAAATACTTAATAGAACCATACGATTAAATATTTTGATAGAACAATTAACACTTTATTTTATACTAACTAAAATACCCAGCATCGTCTAAGTGATATTTTGTTGTTTTAGATTAGTTCAATAACTATTTCTATGTAAAAAAAAAATAAAAAAAAATATGGCCGAAAAAAAAGCACAAAACTCGCCGTATACACTCTTATGGTATTTATTTATATTTTATCCGGTAATAATAAAAATCAGAATTTTAAACGTACATATTAGGTGACCAAAATGTGAAAAATGTATACAATCAGCCAAGAGCAAAAAATTGTTTTGATCCTTCAAATTGTAACTTTCGAAAAATCCTATCTTAATATGCACGCACATAGTAATAAGTAAATTCTGTAAAAATGTCTTACAAATCTTTAAAGTTTAAGCTGTGTGCTGATTATCAGTAAGTAAGTGAGTATTTAAATTTTATGCAAACAAAAAATATAGAAGTATGGAACCGACCAATATAAAAATTATAACGAATTTGAGATTTTTTCCCCTATCAATTTGAAATTGATAGGGGAAAAAAAAAGAGGGTTCAATATTTTTCTTCGCGGCGTATCGATCACATATTGGTTAAGCATAGTTATCATAACCAGTGACGTCCGTAGATCCTTTTAAACTGGGAGAGGAGGAGGCTAATAAACCTCATACATTTGTTCACATTCATATGTTTTTCTAGTACGCATTCAACCCATTCCTCTCCACTGAGAACGTCCCTGATCGTCATATTGCCAATGTCGATCGGCTTTTCGAAACCACTATCGGAAAAATTGGCATTCGGCGGAGGACACGATCGGATAACGCGACGAAAGCGCGCGGTACAACGGAAACGCTCGGTTCGCGTATCGTTTTCCGCGGCGGCGGCGGCGGCGGAAAATAAGGCCAGAGCAGCCGAGAACATTGTAATAAAGGTCGCGTGATAGAAATATCGCGAATTTCCGCGCGTCGTCGTCGTCATTAAACGCGCGCCGAACAATGACGGCAAGACTATGCGAACAGGATAATTGCACCGGGACGGCGTACCTGCGTGAGCGCCCAGGACCGGTCGCGGACAATTGGACCGGACTCACGCCGTCCCGGATGAGGGGCAGGAGAGGGGTAGTCGCTCGTCCCGATTAGTGCCGTCGAATTATTCGCTACGATCGGGATCGCGGCGGCCACTGCATGCACACGACCACCACCACTAACTACTAGTACTACCACTTAACTACTAACTACTGCGATATCGATTTCACGAGTACCGGCCGCGCGGGCTCAATGGTTCGTGACCGTGTTTGATTGACGATAACCCGGGGTTGACCTGAAACATTTTTCCAATACCTCGGCATCGGAGCTCGCGAATATCTATGCGATCGCCGGTCTCGCGTCCTCCGAGAAAAACCGAGAACCCTGCAAGAAACTCATTCGCGATGCCGTGTCCCAACCGTGCGGTACATCGGTGACGCGACTCGCTGCGTTCACGGCAGATGGACCACCGATGTTCCGTCCACGTTTACCATCGCCTCTAAGTCGTTGGCACGAACACTTGACTAACGTGTCTATCGAGAGACTTCGCGCTGCCAGGACAAATCGCCGCGACCCGACCAAAACGGTTCCAACACTAATTACAACCACACCGAACCGATCCCTACCGGGCAACATGGTACGATCGGGTGGCTGATTTTCAGAGCCCTCTTTAAACAGAAAAAAAATAGTTAAATATTATAAGCGCCCGTTACCCACCGAAATGCAGTTGAGCATTCCCTGAAAAATTTTCGTCTGAAAAAAGTTCGCCCTGAAAAATGTTCCCCTTTGGTCGCCGTCGCGTTTAATACGCCTACCGCTATATGTACACGTTGCGATTCGGGTGGTGAACATCAGTCGACGGCAGTAATTGCGGTTTCCGGTTTGCGCGAAGTCCGTCGCCACTATATAATAACAATAGCACCCGAACCAAAAGTACATTTTATGTTAATGTGAAAGTAACAAACCGCGCAATTTACTGATGAATTAAATATTGATTTTTTTCGTCGCGCCAAACACTATCATTTATTCACGAAACTGATTGTAATCTCGTTTTCAATAATGTGCTATACTACCATTTTATTTTTCTTTCTTTATCAATACAACGTTGAAAAATTGTTTTTGTTGCACTATTCGTGTAATTAGGCCTAGCCAGTTTCATAATATATAGATAAATAAGTAATAAATAAATAATATGCATCGGAAGGCGGATGCTACATCGTCTTCTATTATGTTTCGTTTTCTAATTGTTTCATTTATCTTCCAGCGGACCACGACTTTTTGAGCACTTTCGTCCGAATGAAAAAGGAAACCGATTTCCATCTTGATTTTGGCGGACCTGCACGTGGCAGGATGCGTGCACTATAATGGTGTTTAGGCGATGCTAGTCGTGACATTATAGTGTGCACAGGATCTCGTAGATTTTCTGTAACTTCCGACTTCTTTGCGTAGTGTATTTGTAATGTAGCATTTTTTTTTTTTTTTTTATAAAAAAGAGAAAACTCGAACGGCAGACAAAAAAATAGTACATCGTTATTATCATAATAACAATAATAATCGATTGATTGATTTATATATAATATAAAGTGGTGCTCACCTGTATATTATATATACAACCGGGAGTCGGTAGACCCCCGAAAAGAATTGAGCAATTAAAAATATTTGTAATTTCCTAGATTTTATTTCAATTTTGAACTTGTGAAACTCGATTGAACCTAGGCTCATGCCTTAAGTGCTAAGTTCCACTACCTCAAGCTCCAAAATCACCTTCATTTGAGTTGCTTTGATAATGTTTATGGTTAATGGGTGGCTGGTCGGTATTAATATAATATGTTCGACTCATGTCGATATGAATAAATGTATGCCACTGATAATATATATATATACTTGGCCATATGCCTGTGAAAATCTAATACAGCCAATACATCATGGCCATGATCTTCATTTGTTCGATGATATGCAACCTAGTTCACTCTGTATACATAACCAAAGGCGAACACGATGGACGAAAGAATAAGATACGTGAGCACGCGTTGTGGCTTAAATAAATAATGATCTAGAGCGTATGATGCGTTATTTCTGTTGGAGCAAGTTTATCGTGATTAGTGATGGGAATAATCAAATGATTCGATTATTATTTTTCAATTATCAAAATAACCGAATGATTTTAATAATCCAAATAATGGTACCAGACGTATTTATCAAAAGAAAATTACCCATACAGCAAATTTATGATTTTGATATTAACATGATATCAGGTTCATGTAAATATTAAGATATTTCACTTAGTGATATCATTATAACATTTTAGCAATAGCTTAAAATAATTATTCTACTCTTTTTATTTTAATGATGTTATTTTGATATTTAAATCGAGATATTTTATAGTATTTATTTATGTTATAACAAAAAAATATCACTAGTGTGATATAAGAAAAATATGTGTTTCTTTGTATCTGTATGATATTGATTCTATATTAAAATTGTGATATTTAAAAGTAATTATTTATATTATAACAAAAAGATATCACTAGTGTGATATTAGAAAAATATGTGTTTCTTTATATCTGTATGATATCGATTGTATATTAAAATTGAGATATTTGAAAGTATTTATTGATATTATAACTAAAAGATAACCGCTATATAACCGACTGTCCACTGGGTTTTCCCATAAAAGATATCTTATATAAAATATCATGGAGATATTTTATTTTGTTTATCTTATTATTATGAAAAATTGGTTCATAAGACATCTATAGAATATCCTTGTAATATTAAAAAATACTCTTGAGACACGCTGCAGATATTAAATTAATATTAATAAATGTAGTCAAATATCCGGTAGATATTTTAATGATATAATTTTGCTGTATGGGTAATTGAATTATTCGAAAAAATTGCGTGTTTTACTGGCTGGTACCGAATTGGTTCCCGAGCTCCAAACCCACATACCGAATTGGTTCCCGTCTGAAAAAGATATTTTATTAGGTATAGCCGAATTGGTTATCAGTTTAATTACGCATTTTCCTTCTCAATTTTACAGGCTTAGGACTGTCAACTTTAGTCGACTTAGTTAATAATGTGCTTTAATGTGTATTAAAAAAAAAAAAAAGATTAAATACATACAATTTTAAATCGTTGATTTGGAAGTCAACTATTCATCACTTGGTGTACGAAATACAAATAATAAAATATAATAAATACAATTTAAAACCACTGATATTCAAATTTGAAGCTTTAAGTATTTAATATTCATAATTTTCTC